CCCAAAGCATGAATCTTACAGTGCATCAGAGAACTCACACAGGAGAAAAACCCTATGAATGCAACGAATGTGGGAAAGCCTTCAGTCAGAGCATGCACCTTATTGTACATCAGAGAAGTCATACTGGAGAAAAACCCTATGAGTGCAGTGAATGTGGAAAAGCCTTTAGTAAGAGCTCTACCCTTACTCTACATCAACGAAATCATACTGGAGAAAAACCCTACAAATGTAACAAATGTGGGAAATCCTTTAGCCAAAGTACATACCTTATAGAACACCAGAGACTTCACTCTGGAGTAAAACCTTTTGAATGTAATCAGTGTGGAAAGGCTTTCAGTAAGAATTCATCTCTTACTCAACATCGGAGAATTCATACTGGAGAGAAACCTTATGAATGTATGGTATGTGGGAAACATTTCACTGGGAGATCTTCCCTTACTGTACATCAGGTTATTCATACTGGAGAGAAACCTTATGAATGCAATGAATGTGGAAAGGCCTTTAGCCAGAGTGCATACCTTATTGAACATCAAAGAATTCATACTGGTGAGAAACCCTATGAATGTGATCAGTGTGGAAAAGCCTTCATTAAAAATTCATCCCTCATAGTGCATCAGAGAACTCATACAGGAGAGAAGCCCTATCAATGTAACGAATGTGGAAAAGCCTTCAGTAGGAGTACAAACCTTACACGACATCAGAGGACTCATACATGAGTTAAGTTTTCATTGGACCCTTCACCAGGATTAACTCTTCAGTAATAATCATATAAGTCATGTAACACAGAAACCTAATAAATGTAATAATTTTAGGAATCTTCTGGTTGAAGTATAAATTACTATATCAGATAATACCACTGCAAAGAAACCATATAGAGAAATCTTAATTCAGAATGCAAAACACTCCTTTACACCAGAAGGTTTAAATAACCTAATGTTCTAAAGGATGAGGATTTGTGCTGAAGATAAGTTCTATTGTGTCATAACATATCAGAGACTTCACACTGGAGAGAAAATGTGAGAGTGCTAACTGGACAGCCCAAAGACCTGGTAATGTAGTCCAGACCTGACACTTGGACAAGTCACCTACTCTCACCACATCACAATGTCCTTATTTGGTAAATGAGGGATTTTGAATTTAAAAGGTCTCCAGGATCCCTCTTAGTTCTAAAGCACTATAATCCTATAAATATAACCAATATTGGGAAATCCTCGATCTTTTACCATGTATATATGTTATCTAGATGTCCCTATTCCACAATCTGGTTTCTCTGGATGTTTTTTTTTTTTTTAAATTTATTTATGATAGTCACAGAGAGAGAGAGAGAGAGGCAGAGACATAGGCAGAGGGAGAAGCAGGCTCCATGCACCGGGAGCCCGATGTGGGATTCGATCCCGGGTCTCCAGGATCGCGCCCTGGGCCAAAGGCAGGCGCCAAACCGCTGCGCCACCCAGGGATCCCTCTCTGGATGTTTTGAGTAAAAATTCTCTACCTCTTCCAAATCCTAGTATTAGCCCTCCATGTCCTTCCCCCTCCCCCTGCACTGTTATTTTCTCTCCTAAGACATTAGGCTGGTTGCTACCCAAGTGATGAAATAATTGTACAGATCTTAAAGCAACAGCATGCTGCTTTAAGTTCTCAATTAACAGTCATTAAACTGTTAAATAAGCTAATTATTTAGAAAACAGTCTCTAAGTACATAGGATTCAAATACACATCTTTGTACCATACTCTGTATCAAAGTGGCAAGGAGAAAAGACTAAACACTAATAGACATGAAGATGTGACATATTAACAAAATCTTTGCAACTCAAGACAATGATAGGTTTTAAAGATCTCTAGTGATGACAGTGTCAAGGTAATTTCATTTATTTCATACTCTTAATAAAGTGCTAAATATGTGATAGACATGATCAGAAAATCAAAATAGGTAAGACATATTCTTTGCTTTTCAAGGGCTATGCTAAGACACTGGCCATGAAGTGGGAAAGAAAGAATTCAAGCAATAATGAGGCACAGAATCTAGATAATGTGGTAATTGATTAAATGTGGGAACCTAATTTGGTTGGATGGAATACTATAATGAAGAACACATAAAGCTGACCAATTCTGGGGGCATTTTAATGAGTCTATGGATATCCAAGTGAAGATTCCTGATAGACACTGGCAGGACATCACTGAACGAGTGTATGTGGAGAAAGTGTAACTAGTAGGAGCTGAGAGGAAACAGCAACCTAAAGGAAAATGAGCAATGGAAGGAAAAATTAGAAAATGGTGGCACAAAAGTAAAAGAATTTCATGTAAGATAAGAATAGTTAATATTTTCAAATGCCGTGGAGGGTTACAATAAGATAATACAAAATGGCCTCTGGTTCTGGTTACTGATGACCTCTGTTAAGTATTAATGGGTTGAAGAGTGAGGTAAAGGTTGAAAAATAGATTCAGTAGCTTGCCTGGGAAAGGAGACACTGAGAAAGATAACTAGAGGGAGACTGGCATTGAGAGTAGGTATATCAGAGGAGCTTCACAGCTACAAATACTGGAAAGCCCAGTTAACACAAGCAAACAGGGATTCCCCCTCCCACCCCCCCACCCCCCCACAAACACATAACAAATCTAGAGTTGGGTGGCATTGTTTAGACAAAATTAATTCTATATCTTTAGTTTCATGGCTTTTCCATCATGGTCATGTGATGGGTGCTCTGCTTCAGGTAAAGTATCTGCACTCAGGGCAGGAAGGAAGGGGATGGGAAGCACCAGAGACATCTGTGCCTTTTATCAGAAAATTTTTCCCAGAAACCCCTCAGCAGACTTCTGCTTACATCTTACTGACCATAGCTATGTTGTGTGGAGGCCAGTAACAAAAGAGGCTGAGAAAATACTCTTCCAGCCTCTAAAGTGGAAGTAGGCAAAAAAAAAAAAAAAAAGTAGGTTTGAGAAGGGTTTTGATCTGGCCAACAGTCTGTGGAGAGTGAGTTTACCACTGAAATGAAGAGGTGTGGGAGAATGGAAGTTGCAGGATGGAGGGAACCGGCAGCTCAAAGTGGGAAAACATGATTGGAGCAGAGGTAGAAGCTATAGGAATGTCTTTCAAACTTTTTCAAAGAAAGGAAACTTTTCACTGGGAGAGGTGGGAATCAAGAAGTACAGCAGATGTTTGTGGGTGGCAATTGAAGAGGCTCCCTATGACATGGGGTCATAATAGGCAGGCCAGTCTCTTTGGGCTCTGTGATCTCTAAATTCTAACTCTTGGAGTAGGAACAAAGGCAGAGGGGGGAATGAAACACTGAATTAACTGTATCCTCAGAAACCTAGATCTTTATTTAATATTTGTCCCTTACACCTAGTTTCCTCTTTTCCCTTCACATATTTTTCTCTGGAAGATGCAGAGAGAAGAGATGGATACAAAGTAGATAAAAATGATAAAAAGCAGCAAAATAAAGGGTCAGAAGGAAGGCAAGGGACAAATGAGAGAGGAAGGATAAAATACCTAGAAGCCTAGGACGGGTGCAATAGCTCAAAACTTGGCTGAATATTAACCTTTAGAGGAAGCAGATGGAGAAATAGGTCAGATAGAGGTTGCACTACTTTGTCAGGAGTTTTGGAAGCTGTGGCACTTGTACGTCATTTCCCAATCATTCTGGGCAATAAGTGAGGACAGTCTGTGCACCTCTCTGTCACTAGGGCTAGGACTGTCTTGCTTCCGCTTCCTAGACATGATGATCTCCATCTAGGTGCTTCATTTTTTTCTTGTTAGCAGTGTAAACCACACAGCTCCAGATTACAGTGGATACCCACATTAAAGTGCTTACAGAAGTGCCCAACACATATTGCTAAATAAGTATATTATTATCATCCTCATAGATCTGAAAACAAAATAACATTCACACTCCTTAGCATGGCACCCAGAAAATCATCTTCCAATCATTAGTCTCTCAAAACAAATGCCTTGTTAAAAAGGTTATTATTGACTGTGGGAGGTTGTCCCTCCCCAGGACTGTTGTTAACAGCCTCCTACCTGGTTTTCCCCTGGCCCCACCACAGCGCCTTCTCCCCCCAGGCCCATGAGCGAGTCTGCCAAAGTGCGCTCAGCCACATCACTCTTGCACACAGACTCCTTCAGTGGTTTCCCATCACACTCGGACCAAGTCCAAAGGTCTTGGTATGGCCTTCAAGGCCTCCTGCCCAACTCTCCCTTGTTCACTGTGCCCTCTCCAGTCCCCCTAGCCTTGCAAAGCCTCAGGCTCACCAAGCGCACTTTGGTCTCTGGACATTGCTACCCCCCCCCCCGCCCCGCGGTTCTTCCCCAGGTATTCTTTGCAGGGTTTTATCCCGGGCTGCAGTCAAATCTCTGCTCACATGTTACCTCCTCAAAGAGAATTTCCCATAATACCGCTTCAAATCACTCCGTCTCATCTCACACCCACCGTCACAGGTTGGCTGATAACTACCCTCTGTGCTTTACTGACCCTCTAGAATCCGCCGTGTGTTACGGGCAGGTGTCACTGCTCTTGGTGTCACAGAAGTCGCTGACACCGCTTCCTAAAAGGTGGCCAACAGTTCCCCGACTGACCAACCTCAAGGTCACTTTTTTTTTTTAATTCACTACCGACAGTCAAGACCTCTCTTCTTCCCGAGCTCCGCGGAAACGTGTACTCAAAGGCAACTTCGCATCCCCAACGGGATTTTTCCAGCTGTCACCCCATCCCTCCCCCCCGCCGCAGGAATGGTATCACCCGGCGTCCGGCGCCGCCCCCCCCCCTCCCCTCCTCGGGCTCCGGGCTCTTCCCCGCTCCCTCTCCTCCCCGACCTCCGACCTCCGGGTCGCTCGACCTCCGCCGCGCTTCTCCCAGGGCTCTGCGGGCGCCACCCCGGCCCCTGCCACACCCCGTGCCCCTGCCCGGCACCCTCACCCCCCGCCCCGGGCCACACTGCAAAAAGGGTCCGCGCCCGCGCCGTCCTCCTTCAGCAAGTCGCCTTTGCGGCTTCTCACCTCTTACCCCGTCTCCTGGGAGCGCCCCAGATCCGCTCCCCACGGCGACCGTCCGGCTTCATCCCGCCTTCAACTTCCAGCGGGTCTCGCCTTCCCGGGCACTACCACAGGGCTGAAGCGGACTCCGATCGGACGAGAACAGAAGCGAAGCCGCACGTGCCGTTCGGCGCACGGAGGACAGCTGCTCTACGGGGGAGGCGCGACGACCTGCGCGGGCCTCTGGGAAATGTAGTCTCAGCACGCCGCTGCCAGGCATCCCGAGGGAAGGGCGAGGCCCTGTCTGCGCAGGCGCGCGATGTCACTTTCTCTGCCCGGCGCAGGAGCTGGCGCTCGCCGCCGCTTCGCCCTCTGGGAAGTGGAGTCGGGGAAACCGAGGGGTTGCCCCCCTCCGGCTCAAGGGTATTCGGCTCCCCGGCTCCCCGGGCAACGCGCAAGCGCAGTTCCGACCCGGGCTGCCGACTCCAGCTCATTGTGTTTCGCCTGCGATGTGGCGGTTGCGGTTCCTCGCTACAGGCAGGGGTTCCTCGAAGGGCAATCCGGTGGTGACCAGGCACGGTGGCCATAGCCGCGTTGGGAGCGCGGGGCGGCCGTGGGGTGATCGGGCCCGGGGGCGGGGTGGGGGAAGGGCGGAGGGAGCGAAGGCCGGGTGGGCAAGGGTCGTACGGTGCGTCCTGGAGGACGCTGATCGGATGCCGCAAACTTCCCGGAACGTACGGTTGCGGTTTGATTCGAAAGAGGAAAAGGCGAGGATGGCCAGGTGCGGGCTGTTGGTGTTAGGGTCCGAATCTGCAAGTGCATGTGGAGGAGGATGCGTCCGGGCCTCTGCGTGTCTCGGAGGAGCCGGGAAGCGGGTGCTCGCTCCGGAGGTGGATGCCCCGGGCTGTGTCTGAGCCGTGTCTGTAGACCAGGCCGAGTCCGCGCGGCAGCAGCTCCCGCGGGGACCCAGCCGGGGGCCGAAGGGTGGGTAGGATGGATGAGACCCCTGACCCCTCCCCACCACCCAGCCACTCTAATGCAAGGCCTCTCTGGCTCTTTGTCACCCAGACTGGGCCCCTGAGCGGGGAGAGGCCTTGACAAGCGAAGGGCCAGCGTTCTGAGCTTGCCTTTGGAGGAGGAAGAAGACCATCCTTCCTCTCCACTTCTTCCACTCCCCTAACAGGCAGGAGAGAAACTTCTGTTGAGACCTGTCAGGGTAATATAAGGACAAAGGTCGGAGGGCAGCTAGAGAGCCTGAGATCTGGGCTGAAGGGTGCTTTCTGCAAGGAAAAGCCACCCTATGTAAGATACAGAAGGAAAGATGTGGAGGATTTGACGCAGACGCTGGGGGAAGATGTGGGGGCCCAGCATGGCTGCATAGGAAGGGAATCCCTTTGCAGGGGAGGCCTGCACACTCTCCTTAGAAGCACCTAGGGACTAAGACTCAGCTTCTTCCCAGTAGTGGAGGACCTCCAGGATGTGAATGCTCGCAGCCTCACTGTGGACTGCTCTGGGATCTGTTTTAACTCATTTGTCCTTATAACAGGTGTGTAGAGGTTTCTAGCCCAAGTCCTGCTCTGCTAGACCTGGAAAGGGCTTATCAGAAAAGAAATGGCTGTCCAGCACCTGCCAACCATGGTCCAGGTGAGTGGGGAGTTGCTGCGGGGTCCCCCCACCCACCCACCCAAATTGCCTTAAAAGTTTTGAATGTAGAGGTTTGAAGAGTGGTTTTTTGTTGTTGTTGTTGTTGTTGTTGTTTTTACCCTGACCAAGAGCTTTTCTCTCAATCCAGGCTCAGTTGGAGGCCTGACCCCATTACTCCTTTCTCTCTGGCCACCATGATGGGCTCATCCTCATGGGTGAGGGAGCTAAGTAATGTGCTCAAGGTCACATAAATGACACCCCTGGAACCCACGTTGATCCGAAATGGTAACCTACACACTCTCCACTAGCAAGTAACAGTAGGGGTTCAGAGTAGTAAAGGTAATACCTATACCTAACATGGGAGTTGAGAGAAGAGAGAAATTGGAAGACTTTCTTGGGGAGCTGGGACTCTTCTTTTTTAATGACGTGTGGTTTTTCATAAAAGCATTCAAAAGATACATTTTCAATTTCTGTAAATTACTAAAAGCACTTTGAGCAGTGCCAGCCTTTTTAGAATAAGGATATGGACTCCACGTTGAAGGAGATAGCCTTCACTTGAATGTATACATTCTGATGAATTGGGTAAAATTATTCTAATTCCTTCACATGTCAGCCTGTCCAAGGCAGGAAACTGTGGCAGAAAATACTAGAAGAGATGAGCAGATGGTGGAAGGTGCCATGTTCCAGGCCAGGCATTGTACACCAGATGCTCACCCACCTCCTTCTGGTTTAACTTCTCCCTTGACGCCTCTGACACCACTGTTTCTCAAAGCCTGACTCCACAGTGCCAATCCACTGTCACATTTCTCATCCCTGACTTACTTCAATTCATTGTTGGTGTCACACAATTTATTTCATGTTTACAGGCTGTTTTAATTTGGTTGTCATTCAGCAGACCTGTACTAGGAATGTAAAGTGTGTAGGGTATTATGATATGCTGGTGATAAAAAGGGAAACAGTGGTCCCTGAAAAATTGATTCATGGGTTCAATCCAACAAGTGTTTCTTGGTTGCCTACTTTGTGCAAAGCTCTGGGTATAGGTATCAAAAACCTAACTCAGACTACCTTAAGCAAAGCAGGCCTTTATTGGAAGGATAATTGGGGGTGCCTGGGGTGCTCAGTCTGTTAAGTGTCTGCCTTCGGCTCAGGTCACGATCCCAGGGTCCTGGGATTGAGCCCTGAGTTGGGCTCCCTGCTCAGTGGAGAGCCTGCTTCTCGCTCTGCCTCTTCCCCTCCACACCCCTCCACTCATGCTCTCTCTCTAACTCTGCTCTTTTCTATCAAATAAATAATTTTTTTTTAAAAAAAAAAGGAAGGATAATTGGGCTTTCTCCCAAATATTTCTGCTAAGGCAAAGAGGCAAGGACTTTGGATAGGGAGGTGGGGTGGGTGGTCTGTCTGTCTCTCTGTCTCTACATATATATAATCTAAAAGTCCTTTCTTTTGGACCTTTGGCTTTCTTCTCTGAGCTTCTGCTTCATTCATTCTCAGGGCACACCAGCTCTCTTGGCTTCTCAGCCAAGAGTTTCCAAGGAAGGCACTAGTTGTGATCAGCGGTGACAAGGTCATATTGTCCAGAGTGACTATTTCTGTGGGAACCATGTTTGTGTTGAGAGTGGGCAGGTGAGCAGCTGAAGATATGCAGGAGTTGCTAAGCAGCAAGCAGTAGGTGCTAGTATGTGGGCCATGTTCTCCAAAACATGTGGGGAAGACAAGAAATGTGGAAATACTCCATAGCTTCTTAGAGTTAACAGTCCCGTGGGGGAACCCAAAAGTAAATGAGAACTCACAATGAAGTGGGGCCATACTTGGTTGAGCCTGAGAAAGGAGTTGAGGCAGGCTGTGCCCAGGAGATAAGGTGGAGGCTGAAGCCTGGGTAGGATTTGGTCATGGGGTGGGGCGGGAGTGGAGGCAGGGCTGGGCAGGACAATGGGAGAAAATGTGCAGGGCACAATGAACAGCAAGTTAGAAGTCTCAGTGCTGAGGAAGCATATCTTCTCCGTAATACGTGTTTATTCAAAGGAAGAAGCAAAGTCTGATAAAAACTTGGCCCCTACGACCCCCTGGGATTTGCTTATGTTGTCATGGAACACCAGCCTGCTCTGTGCTAACAGTCCCGCACATCTCCCCCGGCTCCTGAGGACTGCCAGGCTCAGCAGTTCCTGGAGAGCCATGGGAGTGGGTGGCCGCAGGTCACCAGGGACCGGTTTGCTGTTACAGGAATCCGTGACCTTCAAGGACGTTGTGGTGCTCTTCACCCGGGACGAGTGGGCACAGCTGAACCCCATTCAGCGGGCCCTTTACAGAGATGTGATGCTGGAGAACTACAGCAACCTAGTCTCCCTGGGTAAGCTGGGGAGGGACCCCCAAAGGCTTATCTTCCCATTTGGAGATCTTTGTGTGACTCTTATAAACTCTTAAACTGGTCCCATGCAGCAGACTGGGCTGGGGATGGCCTGATCAAGGATGTTATCATCTGGGCTCCTGCATGCCTACCCCCCTGGTGTCCTGAGTACGTGACCCCTTTGGAGTCTACGTCCAGATGCTCTGAAGGTAACTAGGTTCAGTCCTTTCTCCGTTTCAGCAGGTAGAAGGACTTGCAAACAGATTGTCTTTCTTCCTCCTGGGAACTCATCTGGCCCTTGGCCTTCCTATCAGGTCACTTTTTTCAGGAGGTCCTGAGGCCCAGGTCTCCTGTTTGCAATGATTTTATTGCTGGTATGAATAGACATTGTCCATTTTTCCCCTCAAAAACAGGACTCTTAGGACCCCAACCAGATGCATTTTCCCAGCTGGGAAAAGAAGAAGAATGGATGCTGGAGGACACATCAGGAGGCTTCTGTGTTGGTAAGAGCCCCATGTGTGGGAGTCATCGGGAGGAGCTCCACAAATGCTCCAGGCCTTAGACTGAGAAACAAGATCTTTTCACTCTTCGTTCACCCCAAAATCTAGTTGCCACATTTGGTCCCGTGTGCATGTGGGCTTTCCTCTCCATGAATTTTCTTCCTCCTCCTTCAGCATAGACTAATGTCTCCACTATAATCTGGGCAGCTCCCACCATGCCATGTTCGCATGTCCTTTTGTCTCATTGAGCATCTAACAGTGCAGTCTCTGCTCATTGTCTTCTCATGAGGAGGACCCGCGCCAGGTTACACACAACAGGTACATGTACTTTTTTTTTTTTTAAGATTTTATTTATTTATTCATGAGAGACAGAGAGAGACAGAGACAGAGACAGAGAGGCAGAGACACAGGCAGAGGGAGAAGCAGGCTCCATGCAGGAAGCCCAATGTGGGACTCCATCCCGGGACTCCAAGATCACACCCTGAGCCGAAAGCAGGCGCCAAACCGCTGAGCCACCCAGGGATCCCCCGGTTACACACAACAGGATGTGATGGGCCCGCTAACCATCTGCCTTCTGAGGCATTCCTTCCAGCTAAACATTACACACTTCTTCACTTGCCTTCA